CTACTCGGTCCCCGAGGAGGCCAAGCACGGCACCTTCGTGGGCCGCATCGCGCAGGACCTGGGGCTGGAGCTGGCGGAGCTGGTGCCGCGCCTGTTCCAGGTGGCGTGCAAGGAGCGCGCGGACCTCCTGGAGGTAAATCTGCAGAATGGCATTTTGTTTGTGAACGCTCAAATCGACTTCGAGAAGCTGTGTGGGCAGAGCGCGGAGTGCAGCATCCACCTAGAGGTGATCGTGGACGGGCTGCTGCGGGTTTTCCACGTGGAGGTGGAGGTGAAGGACATTAACCACAACCCTCCGGTGTTTCCAGCAACCCAAAAAGAGTCTGTTCATCGCAGAATCTAGGCCACTTGGCACTCGGTTACCACTAGAGGGCGCATGGGACACAGATGTTGGAGCCAATGCTCTGCTGACTTACAGACTGAGCCCCAGGGAATACTTTTTGCCGGAAAAACCATCTGATGACAAGCGGATGAAAGGTCTTGGGCTTATATTACAGAAATCTTTAGATCGAAAAAAAAAAAAAGAAATCTTTAGATCGAGAAGAAATTCCGGAGATATTTTTAGAGCTCACCGTTACTGATGGAGGCAAACCTGAGCTGACTGGCTCTGTCCAGTTACTCATTACAGTAGTGGATGCCAATGATAATGTTCCAGTTTTTGATAGAACACTTTATATGGTAAAATTGCCCAAAAATGTCCCAGATGGAATGATGGTAATTAAAATCAATGCTTCTGATGTAGATGAAGGCTTGAATGGGGAAATTATTTTTTCACTTTCAACTGATATTTCACCAAATGTGGCATCCAAGTTCCACATGAACCTATTTACAGGGGAAATTGTTGTAAAGGGAAACATTGATTTTGAAGAATGCAAATCCTATGAAATACTCATAGAGGCCATTGACAAGGGACAGCCTCCACTCTCTGACCATTGTAGAGTTATTGTAGAAGTAGAAGATGCCAGTGATAATGCCCCAGATTTGGAATTGAAGTCTGTATTAACTGAGTGAGAGAGAACACTGAAGTGGGCACCATCATTGCTCTGATCAGCATGTCCGACAGTGACTCTGGTATCAGTGAACAGAGGACCTGCTTTTTGACTCCTCAGGTCCCTTTCAAGCTGGCATCCACCTATAAGAATTACTATTCACTGGTGCTGGACAGTGCCCTAGATCATGAGTCCACTTCTGCCTATCAGGTGTCAGTGACCGTGCGGGATGTGGGTTTACCCTCCCTGTATGTCTCTGCCACCGTGTCCATGGAGGTGGCAGACATGAACAACAATGCACCAGCGTTCGCGCAGCCCAAGTACACGGTGTTCATGAAGGAGAACAACCCGCCGGGCTCCCACATCTTCACGGTGTGCGCGCGCGACGCGGACACGCAGGAGAACGCGCTGGTGTCCTACTCGCTGGTGGAGCGGCGCGTGGGCGAGTGCGCACTGTCGAGCTACGTGTCAGTGCACGCGGAGAGTGGCAGGGTGTTCACGCTGCAGCCTCTGGACCGCGAGGAGCTGGAGCTTCTGCAGTTCCAGGTGAGCGTGCGGGACTCTGGTGTGCCTGCCCTGGGGAGCAACGTGACTCTGCAGGTGTTTGTGCTGGATGAGAATGACAATTCGCCCTCGCTACTGGGAATTAGGCCAGGCAGAGCTGGGCCCACTGTGAGTACATTGGTGTCTCGTTCAGTGTGTGCAGGCCACGTGGTGACAAAGGTTCATGTCGTGGATGTGGACTCTGGCTACAATGCATGGCTGTCCTATGAGCTGCTGCCAATTTTGGGTGGCACGCGTAGCCCGCTTCAGGTGGGGCTGTACACAGGTGAGATCAGCACCACATGTGCCTTGGACGAGAAGGATGCACCACATCAGTCCCTGTTGGTGTTGGTGAAGGACCATGGCAAGCCTGCGTTGATGGCTACTGCCACCCTGTTGGTGTCACTGGTGGAGAGTGGCCAGACACCAAAAGCCTTGCTGCGGACACTTGTGAGCATGTCAGGCTCTGAGAAGGCAATAGTGGATATGAATGTGTACCTGATCATTGCCATCTGCACGGTGTTCAGCTTGTTGGTGCTCACGCTGCTGCTGTACACAGCACTACACTGCTCTGTGCTGCCTGGTGACAGCATGTGTGGACCTGGGAAGCCCACGCTGGTGTGCTTGAGAGCTGTGGGGAGATGGTCATACTCGCATCAGAGGGGGCAGAGGGTATGCTCCTGGGAGGGCCTGCCCAAGAAGGACCTCATGGCCTTCAGCCTGAGTTTCCCGAATTCTAGGGATAGAGAGGAGCGATTAGAGACAACTGAGGATTCCTTTGCAAAGGTTAGTGTATAATATCCTTTTGTTCTATTTTCTTATATGTTTCTTCTTCAGACTTTTTGAGCATTTCCTTCATTATTGTTGTCATTTCACTTTTTGCCTGAGAGAGTATTTCTGATCTCATCTCTTCCATGGCCTTATGGAGTTATTTCTTTACTTCCATTGCAATCCTTTCAGCTATTTCAGTCATGTGTTAACCAAGTTCTCCTATGTTGATGTCTCCTGGACTTGTTCTGAGTGGGGTGGAGTTTTGGGATTGTGTTTTAGTCTTTGGTTTTGACATGTTTGCTACCAGATACAGAAAGCTCAGTTTCCCTCATCAGTAGCTGCTCTGCAAAGAGCACTATTGTCCCTAGTTTTCCTGTTTTTCAGGTTTGCCCCTGGGTGACCTCTGAGTAGCGCTACTTAGTCTCAGATTTTCCGGCAGTTTTTGATTTGTATCTAGTTATCCCTTTCTCAGACATGGGCACTGTTGTCAGCTGATGGCCAACCATCTGATCCAGCGTCCCCTTGCAGTTGAGGGCACGTGCATGATCTCACTTAGGTTGCACTGGTGTGTCAATCCCGGTCCAGTGGACCTATGTCCCCAGGCAGTTTAGGGTACAGGCATAATTCAGACACAAACTGCAGGGTCTACAGTTTGTGAACCACTTGAGTCTATGTCTCCAGTCAGTTCAGGACTGATGAGCCCAGGATGGGATACAGGAACATACAGGATCTAGATTCAGCCCAGATGGATAGCAGTCACAGACTACCCCATCCTTCAACTCGCTAGGTGGTCTGGGCAAAGGCAAAACACAGACTCGAACCATGGGTCAGGCAGCTCCTGGAGCACTCGCTCACTCGGTGCAGGGTGTGCGGTGGCTGGGAGAGCCTACATGCCCTGCCCCCAGCCAGAGAAGTCCCTGGAGCTTCTGAGTGAGGACAGCCTCTCTGCTGTGGGTTCAGGGAGGGCAGAGACTCAGTCTGTAATGTCGGTGGCATCATGCTTCGCATGCTCTGCCCTCAGGGAGTAGATGGGAAATACCTGGCTCTCTCTGTGCATTTCAGCTGGGAACTGTGGCGGTGTGGGCCAAGCACAAACTCGAAACCACAGGTCCAGCAGCTCTCGGAGCACTGGTTCTCTCGGCACAGGGCACGCGGGGCTTTTTGAATATTTTTAAACCAACATTTGATATGAAAAGACGGTAGCATACAATACATATTTAATATACTATCAAAAAATTAAATGGAAGCAGAATTATACACAGAGGGGTTATTTAAATTTATTTGAAATACCAATTAAAATAACCTGGCATCAAACTTCTCATCTGCAATACCAGGAGCCAGAAGATTCTACAATGGGAGAATAGCATATAAGGACTACTAAAAAATAATTAAGACTCAAAAATGTTATGTGAAGCAAAATTATCATTTGCATATTAGAGTAAAATGTTTTTCAAATAATATGCAAGAACTCAATGTGTATGAGCTCCAAATGCTTTACAAAAGTACTACAAGATATTTCATTTAATAAACAAACAAAAACATGATGCATGAAATCAGGAAAGACAAAAATAGTGCTGAGCAAAGAACCACAACTGTGAATGAAAAGATAGATTCTTGGATGGATTAATGGATTAATGGATGGATGGATGGATGGATGGACTGAAAATATAACTGATAATGAAAACCTCTTCTTGAAGCAGAGATAATATATCATAGTAAAAATTCTGAATACAATTATTAGTATAAATGTGCTCAAAAAAACTAAAGTTACTTTTAAGATACAGTAAATGGAGATAGTAATATGCAAATCATTACATTAGGAAAGGAGAGGGAAAGTAGAAGTAAAATATTTTAAATTCTTAACCTATGGGACAGCAGAGAAAGACAAAATCATCTCAAGGAAATGTGAGATATCTCCCTTAGTAGTAACAATAAAATCACATTGTTGAATTAGGAGAGCAGTGGTCTTACTGTTTTCCATACATAAAAATAAAATATTTATAAGACATTTCTGAATAAATGTATGCTTCCTACTTTATTTTGGAATTATGCACATGAGCAAAAATCATTGAAAAAGGCAGTTACTTTGAGAAAATTAAGTACTTCAGTGTTTTTGTTATTTGTTAAATTATACAAAGATTAGCACCTATCCCTGAATAATTAAACTTCAAAATATTCAAACTGAACTGTAACATTTGTAAGTTATAGTTATATACTTGTAGAAAGTAGCATACATTAAAAATTGTTTTTATTAATTGAAATTTGCACTCTTAAAAAGTACATAACACTATGAACCAATACATTCTTATATCAGAATTATCACATGCAGACTACAAGACAAATGTAGTTGTCATATTTACAAAATTACATAGGCTTAAGCCAGGTGTAGTGGCACACACCTGTTTTCCCAGCTACTCAGGAGGCTGAGGCAGGAGAATCTCTTAGCCCAATATTTCAAGGCCAGCCTGGGGAACATAGTGATATCCTGTCTCAAAAAAAATAAAAATAATAAATAATAAAAATTACACAAATTTAACCATACCTACAAGAAACTTATTAAAAATAATATAGCCTATTTTAAAATGAACAAATAGCACACATAGAAATGAAAAATAAAATAACCATACTTTGAAATACTCAGTATAGGATTTCTGTTACCAGTGGTACAGAGTTCATATTTGAACAAAACAAATGCTTCAAAATGTTACAAGCACCTAAAGCTTAATAAAGTCATGAAGGGCTAATAGGTAGAGATGTTTGAAAAAAAGACACAAATTCAGATGGTAAGTCCAGCTTTCTGAGTACTTTTTGTCTTGTTTGTTTATAGATAAGAGGTGAATAAATGCTTAGATATAATGTTGAAAGTCTCCCAGACCATAAATAGCCATTCTTTTGGGGTTAGGAAGTTGAAAAACTGCACTTGACAAGTACATGTAAACTACAGAAGACAATCAAGCCCAGGTATTATAAACAGCTGTAATCTCAGCACTTAGGAGACTAAAGCAGGAGGGTCACTGTGAGTCTGAGGCCAGGTTGGGCTACATAGAAAGTTCAAGCCTCAACTACATATCAAGACCCTGTTTTTCAAAAAAATCAAGTTCTCATCGAGAATATATTAAGCCTGAAATGAGCTAAGATTACCCAAAATATCTGCCAGAAGTAAATTCGAATCCACTCTGGGGGAAGAAAACATTATAACACATCCAAAATTATCTCCAGGAAGAAGTGTTCAATATATATTTCACCACAAATTCAAAGACAGCCAGGTTAGTGTGGAGACAAAAAATACTATGAAGGCACAATTTTAAAACAGGTCACAGAAACAGACACATAGGGACCCTAGTTTGAAGCATTATCAGAAAAAGATGGTGAAAAAATGTTTTGTTATATTCAAGAAATGAAATCCCAGATTGATCTTTTCAACAGGAAACTAGATATTATAAAAAGTATTATAAATTATAATAATGAACAAAAAGAAATATCCTAGTCTACTTGTGCTTATATTAAATAGTATCACAGAATGGGTTATTTACAAGAACAGAAATTTATATCTCACAGTTCTGGAGGCTGAGAAATCCAAAATTAAAGCACCAGCCTCTAGTAAGGGTCTTCTTGTTGTATTCTCACAGCATGGAAGTGGGGAGGACAAAACAGGGATAAGTTTCCTTTGTCAAAACCTTTTTAATGGTATTAATCAACTTCCCAAAAAGTTAAATTTCTTAATATAGTTGTATTGGAAACTGAGTTTTTAACACATGAATTTTGAGATACACTGAGAAAATAGCAAGATGAGAATTAATGGACTTTAAGATGGTAAACTACCTATAATAAAGTCCAGAAAACAAATGGTATTAAAATAAAATGTAAAGACAGAGTAACTAGGAATGAAGTTAAAATATGCTTAGTTGCAACAATAAGAGGTTGGAAAACAACAAAGCAAAAACAACAATGGAGAAGAAAATGGCTGAGGATATGACCACATTAGATAAAACATACACTTACAAATTCAAAATTCCCAATAAATTAAAACCAACAAATATAACGTAACTCACACTGAGACATGTCATGATAAAATGTCAAAATGTCAAACACAGACAAAATTTTTAAAGTATCCAGAGGAAAAAGAGATGACAGCTTTAAAGGAATCAAAGTTATATTAACAGCTGACTTCTTGACAGCAATAATGAAAACTAGAAGACAATGGAATAATATTTTTTAATTTTCCAGGTAAAAAATGATCAACTAAGATTATATTCTCTTTAAAATGACCTTCAACAATTATAATAATGTAAAGACATTTTCAGACAGACAAAACTTGAATTAGGTCTTCTCAGTAACTTTAAATAAAGTATTCCATCACACAAATTCTTGATGGAAGAGCAAAAATGCAGGAAGTAAAGAATAGGAACACAACTGGCAAATGTATAAGTTCATTAAAAATAACACTTCTTGTACAAAATAACTCTAATATTTTGCGGGGTTGAAAAATATTTTAAAGCTTGACAAAATGGTATGTAAGAGCAATTAAAATAAGTTAAAATTTTAACATCCCTGTTTTGTACAAAAAAACAAACTACTGATTAACTTCTTTCTTTTTCCCTCTTTTGTTTTTTTCTGTCTGTCTGTCCATCCATGTGTCTGTCTTGTCAATACTGAGGATCAATCCCACAGGTTCTCACACTGAATTACGAAAGCTAAATCAAGAAGATATAAAAATTTGAAATAACCCAATGTCAGCAAATGAAATAGAAAGTGTAGTTTAAAAATTACCAACAAAGAAAAGCCCAGGTCATGACAGATTCATTGTTGAATTCTACAAGAAATTCAGAGAAGAACTAATCTCATTACTGCTGAAACTCTTTAAGGAAGTTCTGTACAACTGAACTACATCCCCAGGTGTTTCATTTGGCTTCATTTGGCTTGATTTGTATGGTACTGGAGATTGAACCCAGGGCCTTCACACTGAGCTATGTCTCAGCCCTTTAATTTTTACATTGATACAGGGTCTCACTAAGTCACTGAGTTGCTCATGAACTTGAAATCCTCCTGCCTCAGTCTCCTGATTAGCTGGAATTACAGGTATGTGTCACAACACTCAGCATATTATCAATTAACTTTTCACTTTCATATATTAATGATACATGTTTACAGCAATCACTCATAATATATAGCCAAATATATACCTATATATGTATTAAAATATATAAAACTTTAAAATGCAGGAGAAACATATTAATAAAACATATGCAGCAATTTTATAGAGACAAAAAAATGAAATACCTAGAAATGAGACAAGCAGAAAGCTCAAAATAAAATTGCAGATTTATTTTTAAAGATATCAGTAGTCAACCTAAATATAAATAAAAAGTTAAAATCAAAGATCATGTGAAAAGAGTATAGGTTATTCATTGTCATATAAGAAACTATTCCAGCTAATTGATATTTTAAAACTATTTGTATCTACATACATGATCATCAGAGTTTAATTTTTTTTTCCCCCCTCCGGTACCGGGAACTGAACTCACGACCTTGCGCTTGCCAGGCAGGCGCTTTTGCCGCTGAGCTAAATCCCCAGCCCCTCAGAGTTTAATATTTTAATATTTAATGTTTTAAAATGTATTATTACATCTTCTAGTTCTGACTCTGCTGGGTGTTTTTGGTTGGGGTCCTTCAAGTACTTGTAGCCAGAGTCAATAGTATCCTGGTAACTGCTTATGAACTAACTCTGAAGAAAGAAACAAGGACAAAAGAAAGGAAAGGAAAGGAAAGGAAAGGAAAGGAAAGGAAAGGAAAGGAAAGGAAAGGAAAGGAAAGGAAAGAAGGAGAAAAAAAGAAACATCCTGTTTATTAGCATTTGCCTATATTCATGGTAAAAATACTCTCACCATGACCAATTCCAAGTTGGAAAAAGTGACAAAATTTAATGTCACCTTTGGAATAAATTTGCATAATTGATTTTCACAAGCCAGTACAAGAGAAAATCCCAGCACACTCCTAGGCTGAAGCCTTCTCCCCAACTTGTCTAGTCCTTAGCTTAAAATTCTGAAACAGACAGAGGCTGATTAGTAATTTCTCTAAGCATTTGTGGGATCTAACAAGCTCATCTTGAGCTTCTTCACATGGTAACTGTCTCAGAATTCTTACATGTTGTCTCAATCAAAATAAATATTTTCAAAAACCAAGGCATGTTGTAAGATCCTATG